CTATACGTATATCTATTAAAAGTAAAGAAAGGATGTCGGTGGTCGTAAAAGGAAAGATAAAATTTGATGAAAATCGACGAACCCTCGGTGAAATTAATTCTCGCGAGTGCGAGCCCATCGCACCGCGTTAATCGTTTCGCATTTTGTTGAAAATATGAGGCGGAGAGCTTGATGGTGAAAAAGAGAGAAATAGAGAGAACGCAGTACCACGGTTTACTCGTAGGATGAAATTTTTTAATGGACCTAAAAGCAACTTGCACAGACCTTTTTTTTTATGTGCACTAGTACGCTTTTGACAACGATTTCTATCTCAGGCACAACGAAGTCTTCGAAAGTGACCTAAAATATCATTGGTCTCTCTCTCTCTCTCTCTCTCTCTCTTTCTCTCCTGCATCAATTTTATTTTTGTTATTGAGAGATACGAATTATAATAATTATAAAAAAAAAAGTTTTACCATCTAATTTTCTCTCAAACTCTTTCTTTCTCTCTTTCTCTTTCTCTTTCTCTCGTTTATCAGAAGTAATGATCATCCGAAGGATCATACAGACAATTTGAAAATGTTTGTAGTAAAAACGTATCGATATTATATTTATATTATCTTCATTATTAATAATAGAAATTCATTAAATTTTTAATTAATCTTTTTTCTCTATTTCTCTCTCTCTCTCTCTCTCTCTCTTTCTCTCTTTCTCTGTGTGAAAAAATTGAGAACTTTTCGAAAGTTTTATTAAATAACCGTAGCGTATGGAGCTCTCCAACTTTACAGATGGTTGTTCTCCTCTATCGAATATTGTTATTTATAGACTCTTTCTCTTTTCCCTTTTCGTCATCGAAATCGTCCAGATACCAATGGAGTTTTTTTCGTTATTCCATATTCGAAAGGATACATTTTTATCTCTTTTCCGATCCATCCTCTTTCATATCTCTTTCTCATATTTTTTATGCAAAACGATGCAGCACGTTGCGAATGGACACGCACGCCTTCTGTCCAAATACTCTCTTTCGTATACGAAAATAAAGAGTTTCGTTGGATCAGAAAAATATATATACATATATATATATATATATATATATTTATATATATCGTATAGCAAGATCGTTCTTTTGCATCTAGAATAAGAAGATAGATCGCAAAATGGATCGACTCATATCTCGTGATCGTCGTTACAATCGAAGTCTATGAATATTTCAGTATACGTGAAATATTCACCGTGATTCTTACTATTTCACACTTTTACTTTCCTTTTTTACTCGTTCACTTTCAAAAACAACGTGTTTAAACGTATATGAAGTATTTCTTCTTTCATTTCCGTTTCTCTTGGTACTCGAAAACTACTATGCGCTTTGGACAATGGATATGTTTATTCATGCAGTTATTTATTAGTTTGGACAATTAGCATTAATTAGCGCAATTTACCGTATAATTCTCTATCTCTTTCTCTCTCTCTCTCTCTCTCTCTCTCTCTTTTTCCTCTCTCCTTTTCCCTCTTACACCACAGTTATATTCCAGCGTTCATCGCTACAAATACAGCGCCATGCGGTCTCGATGTTTTAGGGAGACCCAATGCCTGCAGCATTCTGCCTTCGAGGGGTTGACCTTTATCGGAAATTATCGCAAAACCTGCAGGAGAATGGAGAACTCGTCGACAACCAACTTCGTGAGTTTGAATTCTTATCGACTGGAAACCGAACGAACAAAGAACTTGGAATGATACGTTTCTATTCTTCTCTTTTTCTCCCCTTGCAACTGGTCTTTCTTTTAAAGAGACAAAAGAACAGACTGGCAAAGTACGAACGATCTAGTCACGTTAGCATAAATTGAATGAGGATACTCGAAATAACAAGAAAAATAATTTCTCATTGTTAAATGTTAAAATTTATTACAATATAACAAATAAAGGAAATTACTTTTCGTTTGATTCACCTTTGCAATAAAAATTTTGGGAGTCTCTTGAAGAAATTAGATAAAAAAAAAAAAAAAGAAAAAACACAAAAAAATGTGAAGCTCGAAGCATCAATTAAAAAATTATGGAATGACATCGGTGTTTCAACAACACGACAACAATAACAACAATAAAAAGAAAAAAAAAAAAAAAAAAAAAGAAAAAGAAGAAGAAAAAGGGACGTCTCATTAGCGATACTTTCGGATCGACGTGACAAAACGACAAGAGGACTTATATATAAACCGCATGAAAAACGAGTGAAACTGAAAACTATGTAACCGAAGAAGTGTACGCATGTGGTATTCATTTCGTTTTAACGACAACAGCCATTTGAATCGATACCCTTTCACGCCGAGGACATTGACGCGTGACATCGAACGAAAAGACAATAGCAAGTGCCGTAAAAGGAAACGAAAGGGCTCGTTACACGATTACATACGTATACCAATCAAGTATTATCGATAGTTTGAAGATTCTTTAAATCTAACATAAACGTCAATGAATTTCCATTAAAACATTAGACGATATAAAGATATACATGTCTAACGTGATTCGTTAGAACGATTCAATGAGTTATAGAAATTTTGATATTAAAAGGAAGAGATTTAGTTGTGATAGAGATTATTCTCTGATCGATAAGAGAGAAAGTTAACGAAAGTGTGATAGGAATAAAAGACAGTATCGGTAGAATTTCTTGGGTATTGCTTGATCGTAGAACGGACTTGAGTATGAACTGAGAGAAATACGTAGCGAAGCTAACCACATCAAACGAAGGACCGAAGTACTTCGTGAGCCAATCTCCAATTATCGATGACAACGCCCGGCAACGTCGTCTGGGCTCCGATGTCTTCGTTGTCCTCTAATCGGGTATCAAGTAGCGGTTCTCTCCTACCATTCCTTTCAGTAACGATCTGTCCGGGTGAACGATCGTACGTGACTCTCTCTCTCTCTTTCTCTCTCTCTCTTCCTCTTTCTCTCTTTCACTCTCTCTCAAGGAAACTCATCCTCTTATTTCTTGTTTCTCTCTCTTTTCCCTTCCCTCTCTTTCTCTTTTACTCTTTCTTACTCTTATTCTTACTCTAACTCTAACTCCTATTCTTATTCTCTGTCTCATTCTCTTAGATAAGACTAAGACATCGAGATTTTTCATCGAGACGACGGAAGTTTATACGGGCCATCTACCCCACACGGTTTATTGTTTCAGACAGAAGCATGATTTATAGCAAACACCAACACCGTCGGTAATGAAATTTAAGAGCAACTCGTTTTTAAGTATTTCTTTTTCCCACCCCCCTCTCCCATCCTACTTCCCACCATCCCACCCTCCTTCGCCACCGTCGCCGCCTTGTGTCACCGTTCGTTTTCATCTTCTCTTTTCGAGCGTGAAACGAAGAAAAGCCGCATGTATTTTATTGCACTTGAAACTTACTCTTAAAGAAATGGAAACAAACGTCTTAATGCCTTTACGCTTACGCGAACTACTGAATACATTTTCTTTCCTTCCACGATTAAAGTCGTATTTAGTTTCCCTTTGGCTCATCCTTCTCTCCCTTAGCCCCCTCGCCACTCTATCTATCTCTCTCTGTCTCTTTCTCTCTCTGTCTCTTTGATTATAATTAAACCGTTTGATTTCGACGAATGAATAAGGTAAAGAAGACTTTAAGCTTTATTCCCAACGTATTTCTTAATGTATAATTCGGTAACATCAAAATTACGATGGTTAATCTTCTTTGCCGATTATATCCGTTCATTATTTTTATCTCATCGAAAAGACGGAAACGATTCGGTGAGATATTAGTGTACGATAATCTGATCGTTCTAGTTGAGCAGTAGTCACGTTATATTTTCCCTTCCATTAGTCGAATGGTACGAGACTGGAAAGAGAGTAAAAAGATAGCCGAACGAAAGAACTGAAAGATACAGAATAAAAGGAAAAGAAAGAGGAAAAGGTGGGCGAGTTTTATTACCTATGTTTTTGTCAACCCTCTGAGGAATCGACCGTTCCCTTTTTCTTAGCAGTGATATTTCACCATAGCCAAGAAGAAACGTTCGCCTCTTAAGCATTTGAACCCATCGAGCGTAGCCCGGAGAGACCGTACGAAGAGAAAAGAGAAAGGAGTATACCGTAGAAGGGGTAGTTACCCGCACTGCAGAATTGCCATGGCCCACTCTCACCCCTTCTCTATCTTTCTCTCTCTTTTTCTTTCTTTCTCGTTCTCTCTCTCTCTCTCTCTCTCTCTCTCGCTCTTTCTCGCTCTCTTTATTTTACTCCCCTAATCCCAACACCATAAATTAGTTCGGACGGAAGTTCGATACGTTAGTTGCATTTGTCCACGGTACGCCGAAATAAAGAGGAGTCGGTGAAGAAGCGCGGGAGTAAAACCTCTCAACCACCCACCCACTCACCTCCTCCGCCTCTTTCCTACCACTCTTGCAATTTCTATCTGTTTCTTTCTCTTTCTTTCTCTCTCTTTCTCTCCTCTCTTCTCTTTCAAACCTTTCTAGTCGTTCGTCTCTTCCCTTTCCTTCTCTCTTACTCCATCCGCTATGTATTCTACTTGAATCGCTTCAATTATTTATTACTCGTAGGTATTGCAACCAGGAGTCGTACCGAAGCATCCCAGTGAGTCTTGAAGATTTGTAATGTAACATGTAAAAATTTTCTGGCGTTTGTAAAGAAATGGAATAAAAAAAAAAAAAAAAAAAAAAAAAAAAAAAAAAAAAAAAAACAAATAACGAAGAAGTAATAGCGCTTCGAGGAAAAAACAAAAATATTAAGAAAAAAAAAAAAAAAAAAGAAAAGAAAGAAAAAAAAAACGGGAAAACAAAAAAACAAAAGGATTAAAGAAAAATGGTCTAGATCAATTTTCTTTTTTTTTTCTTCTTTTCAGGAAAAATCGAAAAAAAGAAAAAGGAAATGAAAATAATTTTTGCTGAAAATGTAAACCGTTATCACGTAAACTGTAATAATGTTCTAATTGATTAGCTCGTTTATTAACGTAATGCGATCGTGAAATGTGCAAATTTAATGATAATAAATCGTTATGGCGCAGCTGTTACCCCGTGCAAGGTATTTATGATTCTCGTTTTGACGAGGCGTTATAAAAGCTCTAATAACATAATTTTCCCTTTCTCTCGACACTAAGAGATCTTCATCTTTGGTCTCGTCTCTCGCCATTCGCTCGTAGCTAATTAGCGACCGTAACTTCGTTAGTGGTTTTAGCTCCGTGGTTTAAGCTCTCGTTGATGTGAACTTTAGATCGTAGAAGCAGAGATCGAACCAAAGTCCTATATTTCTCTATGATCGATGATCTTCGTGGGGAAACAATTTTCATGTAGCTACAACGTTACGCGTTCTACTATATTAATGACATTTCTGCACCTTACAATCCGTAAAGTACAATGGAGTACCGAAGACAATAGCCTTCTCGCTCGATTCTAACGAATCAATCATCGTATCTAGACTGAACTCGATAAAAAAAAATCCAAGAAATGTGCTCGAGGCAAGAAACAGAAACGAATCAGAAACGAAACAGTTTGATGCCATTACGTCGAATGAAAAATTCATTTTAGTTTAACGTCGATCGTCGAAATTTGATTCGATCGAATCAGAGTAACGAAGTAAGACGAGTCTCGAGCAACGTTATTCGAAAATTCAACCATACGGATTCATCTTACATTGGATATGCCATTGTGAATTCAATGATAGGCGCCGCGAGATATCGATTTTTTTTTCTCACGATTGCTGGGAAAAAATTTCCGGTCGATGTAAGAGAGAAAAAGAGAGAGAGAGAGAGAGAGAGAGAGAGAATAAAAGAGAAAAAAGGGGAATGAAAGAGAAAAAGAGAGAAAGAAATAGATAGTAATAGATGATAGAAGTGAAAAAAGACACGAAGAAAAGTAGATATCTCGCTCGCATCTTCTTCATTCCCGTCTTTTTCTCACTCCCTCTCTTTCTCTCTCTCTCTCTCTCTCTCTCTCTCTCTCTCTCTCTCTCCGAAGGCTTTTATTGTCGACGAACGAAGGAAAGTTAGGCGATCGTACCAGAGATGGCTCGGTAAGAAATCGAGGGGTGAAAGTTTTCTCCCCAAAAGAACGGAAGGCCTTTCGCCTTTACGAAATCTTCGAGGTTTTATAGGCCGAGATAAATAATGTATTAGAATATTGGTGGATAATCGCACGTCGACAAGAGAAATCGATGGTTTTAGCCAATTAGGTGTTAGACACGTTCGTATATAAACTCAGACGTTACGTGATGTATATTTTCTTCGTAGGATATAATAATATAAAGGAAAGGAAAAGAAATAAAAAAAAAGGTAAAGAAGAAAAAAGAATTATTATTATCCCGTTCTATGTTTTGTTCCCTGTATTTGAACGTGTAAAAGGATGATAAAAACTGGGACATTGAAGATCGTTCGATCGAAATAAAAGTAAAGCTACTCTCGTCCCGTTTTAACGTAGTACGTTTTAAGAATTCTTGATAAGGCCACTGGCATCCCAACGTAAGTCGAATTTACGTTGGAAGCGACGATGCGTATAGCCTTCTCTCGTAAGGTGAACGTGATCTAAAATTCTCTCCTGATGTTTTATTCATGATTTCAATCAGCGGTCGAATATCACTTTCCAAGTGCAAAACTTCGTTACTTGATCGAGCCGATCGACTGATTCGTTAACGATCCTCTTCCTCGTACGTTCCACTTGGTATATTATAGAGAAACGAGTTTTCACAAGAAGACAGATCACACATATCCTTTCGACAGGATTCTATATAAATCACGTGATAATTTACTTACTATCGAATTATCGTCATTTACGTAAATGTTTTATCAAAGAAAAGAAATATATAGGATAAGGGAGAAGAGAAAGAAAAAAAAAAAGAAGTGCACTTTACAATCCATCCCCAATGAAAACCCATAGCCTTAACGTGGGGTTAACGTAAATCAAGGTACGAACTTTTCCTTGATAGAAAATTTCATTACACGGGCAAAAGCGTTGAGATAGAAAAAGATAGATAGAAGAAGAGACAGTAGGAAAGGACAGGAAGATAATCACCGGTATTAAAACCGCAGTCACATTAAGTAGGATATTTCGCAAATATATTCCATTTAAATGTCACGTTTTAATTAAATGAAATTTATTTCAAATCTTTCTCTCTCGCTGGCGCTTGGCTTGCACTACTTTTTTCTTCTTCTTTTTTTTTTTTTTTTTTTTTTTTTTTTTTTTTTTTTTTTTTTTTTTTTTTTTTTTGATAAAAGAAAAAAAGGAAAGAAAAAAGAAAACAAAAAAAAAGAAAAAGAACGATGACCATTATTATCACGATAAAAGAAAAAATGTAAGAAACATCGAATCAGAACGAAATTCGGGCTCGTACAAAAGGTATAGAAAAAAAAGAATTTGTCTTTTCTTTCTTTCTTTCTTTCTTTCTTTCTTTTTTTCTTTTTTTCTTGTTTTCTAAATGAATTCGATTTAAATATCGTCACTGACCTTCGACGATCGCAGGAGTAATCAGTAGCAGCGATAGCTGCGCGACGAGGTAAAACGTTGAGACAATAGTGCGGATCAGCGACATCCATCTAGAACTTGGCGTGACGCCGCGACGTAGAAAGGACGATTCGCGCCGGAATCTCGGTGCGGACTGGCACACGACGGGGTTACTGTGCCTCACTCTGTGTCGGTGAGAGGGGTGAAACGCGAACGAACGAACGAACGAACGAACGAACGAACGAACGAACGAACGAACGAACGAACGAACGAACGAGCGAACGAACGAACGAACGAGCGAACGAACGAACGAACGAACGAGCGAACGAACGAACGAGCAAGCGAGTAAGCGAGTAAGCGAGCGAGCAAGCGAACGAACGAATGAACGAACAAGAGAGAAGGAAAGCAAGTGCGACGGCTGAACTAACGGAGGAGTACAGAGGGAAAGACGGTGTGAGAGAGAAAGAGAGGGAGAGATGCTTTTCTCGTCACGAGCTTTAGGGTTTGTTCGCATGCGCCCATCCAGGTTCACGTGCCTTCCGCCATCGCGAATCGTAGGATCCGCCTTCCTCGTAGGAAAGACACGTTTCCAAGAGGATATACGGAGAAACACACGTAGAGAGGACGATTTCAAGCTATTTCTCTCTCTCTCTCTCTCTCTCTCTCTCTTCCTTTCTCTATCCATCCATCCATCTATCTATCTATCTATCTATCTATCTATCTATCTATCTATCTATCTATCTATCTATCTATCATCTTTCTCTGTTTCTCTCATCGATATTATCTTCCTGCATGTTATAAGAGAATCGATGAACGATCGAAACTCCAAGCTCTTTTCTCCTTTTCTCTCACTCACGTTATTCTCTATACTGGACTATAAACAGCCTGAGGAAAGTGGAGCTCCGAATCTCGCGTGAATATACGATAATATTGTATCCAAACTATACACCTTTTTTAAACGAAATATATACATATGTATATATACGATCAACAACTGTTCATCAACCATTCAAATCTCATCCCTTTCACAGAAGAATGAATAAAAGATACATGGTGTAGAAAAATCTCTTCCCCGTTATTTGATCATTGATTGATTATTTTCAAAATATTCTTATAATGTATTTTTGTTATGTTCATTGATTCCTTTATCGTAGTTAATTAAAGAAGAGTACATTTTCGATCCATGAATTAATAATGATTTCTACGTTTCTAGACATTTTAGTCGACTATGATTGAGTGAGTAAGAGCAGAAGGAGAAATACAGAGAGAGAGAGAGAGAGAGACAGAGAGAGAGAGAGAGAGAGAGACAGAGAGAGAGAGAGAGAGAGAGACAGAGAGAGAGAGAGACAGACAGACAGACAGACAGAAACAGAGAGAAGCATCACAGTAGTAAGTATGCGAATGTAGTCAGACGGAGCTAAACTTTAAACATAGAAGTTCCTCGAACATATTCTTAGCGTCATATTAAACTTCCTTCTACTTCGAGCTCGGCGAACGCAACGGGTAACGAACGAAATAAGGTACAAATTGAAATTGTCCCTAAAGGAAAAAGATTGATATTGAAATGAATTTGCAAATCGGAACTGTCCGCGGAAATTAACAAGCAGCAAAGCGGCGACATTAAAAAGGGACTAAAGCGAGAAATAATTATCCAGTTGCAAAGTTATATCGAGTGGAAAGTTGTGCCGAGCGCCAAACTTTTCGGTGTTGCGTTTGAACGAAAAAAAAAAAAGAAAAAAAAAAACAAGAAAAAAAAGCAAAAAAAAAAAATATGATAAAGATAAAAATAAAAATAGATGTAAAAATAAAAATAGAAAAGCGAGAAAGAAAAAGAAGGAAAAAAGTAAAAAACTAAACAAAAAAAAATGATGACACTATGGTATCCAACGGCAAAGCAGCATGTATCTGCAAGCAAAGTTTCAATAGCGTCGTTAGAAGTTTGCTATGTGCATTAGAAAGAAGTTTTTTTTTTAAATATATATATATATATACATACATATACATACAAATATATGTATGTGTGTGTGTGTGTACTTATGTATATAAGGACATTTTAAAATATTCTGAGATTCGGTCGTTGGACGGAAGGAGAAATGGTTTTTTAGTGTTACGCCAGTCAGGCGAGATAAAAACGGAAACATTATCGAAGAGTTCATGTCGAATGGTTAAATTAGGTTCGTGATTCGAGAAATCGACGAATATACGTGGTAGGAGTACTTCGGGTTGAAACTGCTGATCGATCAGTCGATACCTTTAACCGTTGACCTACTTCATTGATTATCGCATTGTAACGTAATTACTTGCACCATGTGGTAATTATACGGTATGCACTCCGTCGAGTTCTCACGGGACTATCAAAATATTCAACTAAAAAATGAATTTCTCAACTCAAAATCGATACCATTGTATGATAAAAAGAGTACATTGATAGGATGATACAATCGTGATAACGGTTAAAGTAAAATTCAAAGAGAAATAATACGATATGAAATAATACGTAGGAGGTTGAAAAAGGTATCAAAAAGATATCGAAAAATAAGTTGAAAGGATATATTACGAAGGTTCCTAAGCTTTCGTATCGTGTAGACGGGTGGTACGAGTCGTAAACTCGACTCATAACATGGATCTCATACTCGCAATAGGCATTGCTAGGTACATGCATCGTGCTATTTCGAACGATGACTTTAAGAGCTAACTCGAACCCTCCCCTACGTTCTCGTAAACGTCTAGCGACAAGATATCGAGAACAGAAGCAAGCAGGTTATTTCCCACTTTCGTTGGGTTACTTGTTTGTGGCTTTATTGCTTCTTAAGGGAACAGGTAGTTCTGTGAAATTACATCCGATTAACGTCGCACACTTCAACTCAAACGACCACGAGAATATTCCGATAGAATTGTTTATATCTCTTCGTACGAGAGAATTAGAGAAACAGAGATAGGAAATGGAAATTGTTAAATGAACGATAACTCACACAAAGCAAATTTGTTTGTTACTTCGTTCACCTGATTAAATTACTCATCCAATTAACTCCTTAACTTCGTCATTGTCTATCTTCGGGCACGTTTTCCAATCGACTTTCATCCTTCGATCTTGCTCAGAAAAAGACTTTTAAATCGGAACACTTTGCGTTACTTTTACGCACGCACGACGACGCATCGCGATCGCCCTACACTAGAAGCGTCCAATGGAATACCAATTTGATCGACCCTCCATCCACTGGTTTCCTCTTTCCTGGTTTCTTTCTTTTTCTCTTTGTCTTTCTCTCTCTCTCTCTCTCTTTCTTTCTTTCCATTTCTATTTCTCTGTTCTAGCACCATCTCCTTCGCGCTATCATGGTATTCTCTTTGGCCTAGGGAGAAAAGCTAGGGGACTTGGTAGTTGAAATTTTTCGTCGATCGCGAATACGGAATTCAGACTATTCAGGGCGTCGTCTCAATGCTACCATAGAAACTCGAGATAATGTCTAGCATAAAGGAGAAAAAAGATGTCCTATTTTTGTAAAACGTTATCTTAGGCACGGATATCGTAAAGGAGGCTTGCGAGTAGAAAAATATGTCGTGTACCGTAATACCCGTTTCTATTTTTAACCAAAAAAATCAACACTAAAAAGGATGAAAGGATAGATATTTAGATATGTATATTCGTAAGAAAACGATTTGAAAGTATCGTTTCCCTGATGACAACTAACGACATTTAACTCACATAGAATTATTTCACGAAACGATGTTGTTCAAGGTTTTAGAAAGTCCATTGCTAATTATCCTGTTTCGTTGATGATAGTAGTAAACGATAATATTTTCCGAGAAGAAGTAAGATCGATATCTTGCATCTTAAAAAAACAAAATTCACCTGTACTTTCCCATCGCGTCATTCTCAAACATTGACACTTTTCCTTTTTTGATCAGTTTATTTTCATATCTTGGTCAATATTCAAGATCTTATGAATAAAATAACGAGTATTGATACTTCCGTATATAAAATGATTCCTCATGTATAAATAATATTGCTTCTTTCAAAGAGCTCATTTTGAAACGTTTATACATATCTGAAAGTAATATATTACATATATATATATATATATATATATATATATATATATACATATATAAAATGTAAAACGAAAAAAAGGTAAGATAGGATAAAACTAAATGGAAAAGGTATTTTAATCCGTGAGATTCGAGATTTGCATCGGGAGGAAAGCCTTGAAGAGAAAATCTTCGGTGTAGCCGACATCGAGAAGAAAGATGGCCGTGATATCGAGGCACATGCAAAATTTTCACTCGAGGGACCGACTAGAAGTTCATTTCCTGCTCTTCGCTAAGGTGCAAGCGCAAAGCGAGTAATTCGATTTTAGCCGAAAGCGTTAAGAGACATCGTCGACGAAGGCAAAAACGGGGGGGGACCAGAACGAAGATGTAAACGACGAACAGAGTAAGAAGAGACTGGCAGAAGCTAGTACGGAAGGATGAGAGGGTAAGAGGTAGTGATGGCGAAGAATACTCCGCCTGGAGCAGAAGACTGCTTCGAAATAAGTTGAAGCCGTCAAAAGAACCTGAAGCGGCTTTATTCGTGTCGTTCCAAGGACGATGTTTCGCGAACCTAAACGTCTCCGATGGAAGAACTACGGCACCGAAGAGCAAAGTGAAGAGAAAACTTACAAACTTTCTATATCACTTTTTAACACGTATACCATGGTACCTTTATAAATATATCCTGGACGATATTTTAATGACGTCAGAAAGTCAACCTCTCACCATAGCAATATTGAGACTTGGGATGTTTAAGAGTCAACGGTGGTTAGAGGAACGCGTGATTCCGAATAATACGTCGTGAAATCTATCCTGTTAGATATCGATTATGATATCTATGCTTAGTCATGTTCAACACATTGACGCATTGATAAACATACGACAAACTCCGGGATATCTCCGAGAGATCGATGGGACTGATCTGACGGATAGAATGAACTTATGGAAAAACTCTATCGTACCGTAAAATATCGGGGGAGGGAGGGAAGGTAGAGGAAAGAAAAGAAAGAAAAGAAGGGAAGAAAAGAAGAAGAAAAAAAAAGAGATGTCCAATTTTTCTTCAAGCTCGACAAAGTTCGGCGATTATTTTCTATCGATATCATCGATCGAAAACTTATAGTTAAAGCCCGTCTCCCCCCCCCTCCCCTCCCCCCACTCCTCCTTCTTTCTCTAGTTTATGTCGAATCGGGATTGTCGAAGTACTGTACCGCATGCAGCCCTTCAATTAATGCATCATTGAAGGGGAATGGGGTACTACGGAAGTGAACGTGTTTGCGAACCTTTGACAAACGAGTCGCATAAGGACGAGTAATTAGGCGGACACAGCGTGAAACCTTCCATGTGTGCGCGTGTCGTATTATCCACGTACGCTTATACTTATATATATATATATATATATATATATATATATATATATATATACACGTGTGTGCCTGAGTACATATGTGTGTGTATGTGAGGGGAGTTCGAAGAGAGTAGAGCTCGTTCGATAGCATCGAGACATCATTGTCTAACCGCGACTAGGACTGCCATACCATTATTCTGCCGGTGCACTTTGACGTTTGTCCGAGGCTCAAGATAAATTGCCTTTCAACGGTGGGAACATTGAGTAAATAACATGCGTCGAATCGTCGTGGTACCAAAGGAGTATAGGAGACGTTGACGACGATCCTCCTGTATTTGGAAAAGCCGTAGTTTACGTACAAACAGACACGAGCAAAAGTCAATCCAATTGTAATTCCTTCCTATTTTCTTTCATTTTTCTTTATTCTCTCTTATAAACGTTTTCACTTTTCTCTTTTTCTTTTTTCTTTTTCTTTTTTTTTTTTTTTTTTTGCTTCTTCCTTTTTTCTCTATTTTTTATCTTTTCTCTTTTTTTGCTTGTTTGTTCGTTCGTTTTTCTTTTTCTTCTTTTTTTGTTCTTTAAGTTCCGTAAAATCTTCAAACCTAATAGCTATTATCGTCAAATATCGTTCGAATTCTTTGTTCTATGTTATCTGAAATGATCATTTGAAATTTATTGTTTCGATTGTCCCTCGAAAGTTCCTTGTTCCTTTATAAATTGTCGATTCTCGTTAGTGGTACAACGTGATTATATTAAATCCGTATTCGCAGTCGAATGAAACAAGAATAGTAGCAGTCCACGATTATATCGAAAGGCTACTATGAGCAAGCTGATAAAGCAAAATCGTTTCCAGGAGGTAGCAATTAAGTCGAACGAGACGAGAAATACCATGTGGTTTTCATTTGTATCTGGTATAGCTAATAAAACAGATACTTGACCCGGAGGATTTCCGTAATTATCGTTCGACAGATATTACTTTAATATTTCGAGAACAGTTGAAAATAATCTTGATCATTTGAACGGCCATAATATGTTCGATAAAGGTACAACGAATCGACAAGGAATCATCGATATCATGAGAAAAATATTCATATCAAGATATTTCAGGATAATCAATTTAAGATATATACAATTTCGAGAATTTGACATTTTATATTTATAATTTTATAATACTTGTTAAATATCGAAAATGAAAATAATCTTACCGTACATAACCGATAAGACAAATGAGACTTCATTTATTGACCATATCGAGGATCTAACACACAAATTAAGATATTTAAAAAGGAAAAAGATCTGCAGAAAAGTTATCATCGAGAAGTCCGATCGATCGGTCGGACGGAAAGAGTTGAATGCGTTAAAAAAAAAAAAAAAAGAAAAGAAAGAAAAAAAGAAAAAAAAAAAAAAAAAAAAGAAACGTGTTTCAATGGCAACACTGGCAGTTCGTTCGAGCCATCGAACAGAATTATCGAACCGATAGGAAAGCTATCCGAGCAGGAACGGTCTCTGTCCTAGCCTAATCCTACCTGCT